TACTATTCTATTTGGATAATTCATTTTGATTTCATATTGCTTTTTATTGATGATTGGTTAATATTATTAACATTTTATACAGATGTACATGCATTTAGTTAGTATTATTAACATCTTATATGGATGCTCTTTATTTAATAGTGGCATATTAATTAGCCAAAGTAGTTCTGTATTTTTGATCTGGGTTTTTTTTTTTTTTTTTTTAAACTGTCAAGTTATCTACCAGTTTCTTAAAGGGGCCTTTTATTTATAAACTACAAAATTTTTGTAAGAAGCTGAACGAGCACATAACTAGTTGGCAATATGTTAAATTATCTCTCTACCCCTTTCACTTTTACTTCTTAGGAAAGTTGAACACCTGACTTTGATGAAATAATGTAACAACTTGTATCTGCCCATAAGGAAATTGTGTAGGATATATATGCTGACAACTTTGTGTCATGACCTATATTAACATTTTTTCTGGTGAATTTGAATTTAGCGTAGGTCACATTCAATTGGTTAATCATAGCAAAGCCAACAAGCCTAATTTTCTTTAAGGTATTGTGCTTTTGTAATTAATATTCCACTCACCAGTAGTTTAACATCACCCAAGGACATTTGTAGTGGTGAAATTTAATTGCCATTATGTAGCGATTTTTAACATGTTTTATTATCCTAAAATAAAATAAATATATATATATATATATATATATATATATATATATATATATATATATATGGAGGTATGGTAGAATAAAGGATACTGGCTCGAATTGAGGAATTGGATAATTGAGTTTGAATTTGTCAAGTTCATTACATTCACTTACAATACATGGAAAATACCCTGAGAAAGGGTATGAATCCATCTCTTGTCCCTCCCCCACTTATGGACAAATAGCTGGTCATACTCTGTCCTACAGCCTTAGGTGACAACTAGACTAGAAGGAAGAAAACTCACTCTAGACTTGAGAAAGGTCATTTAGAGATACTGTGGCACACTGTGCAACAGTTTTCTGTATTTGCCTTTTCTAATAGTGTGGTTGGTTCTGCACAAGTCTTCACCACTATAATCAAATCATGCGTGGGCTGTTCAGTTGTAAGAAATGAGCTGTTGAACCCTCATATGTTGAAAATGATGTGTGAGAGAGATTAATATATACGTATTGTTACAATAGACCAATAATTGTACCCCCACCTTAGATTTTACAAGTATATTTTTAATACCTTACGAGATATGAGAATAACAGTCATCTCTTTATTTCTTTGAATATGCAGATTATGGAATATTTGTTTTTGTACCTGGTTAAACTAAAGCCAGTTCTTGGAAGAGAACCTTCCTTTCCTCGACCTCGTGCCTGGTCTCTGGTCGCAGGCCAGATGAACGCTGCTTGTCTGATAAGTACAAGCATGTTGGGATATAACAACTTTACTTAGCTGTTTGCTTTCTGAGGAATTGGACGTCACCAAGAATCAGATGACCGATGAAAGAATCCTGAATGGTATTCTCAAACCCAAGTCGTCTATACTCCTGTGGTTTATCTTCGTATACTACTGGTCCTCAGCAAGGATTGAACGGTGTTAATCAAGTACTTAAATCAAGACATTAGCAACTCTACCTTTTTCATTCAGAGAATTGAATGGACATCTTTTCTTTCGAACTTTATTTCTGATAACAATCGATTGACATCGATCCCTACAATTTGTAAGTCTTTACATGTTTATGAATATATTCTATAATCTGCTGTCACTATTTTTGTCTGTATTTCATCGCATTAATATATGTTTGATCAACCAATTGTCCCCTCATCCCTTTTACTATTTAGTTTTCTTTTCTTTAATACACTGTATATTTTATAAAGTATTTTTATTATATGTTCTTGTGTAGTCTTCTGTTGTTCTGTGCCTGCATATTGTTCATTTTCTCACTGCGTTCACCGACACCCGGAATTGGAGAATTCCCCTCCCATCGTTCTTTTCGTCAATCTTACATTGAACACTGGGATACTCTTGTTTATTTTTGTTTATTTTCTCGTTTAATACCGGCTATCGTAGTCTCAACGAAACCCTGGACATAACTATATATATATATATATATGTGTGTGTGTGTGTGTGTGTGTGGTTACACTGAGTAACAGCAAAATTGCCCATCCCACAAAATATTTATAAAAAAAAAAAATCATTGATTTACTTTTTACCAGGTTTTTGGATAAGCCACCTTGACACATTTTGTCATAAGAATCTGAAAAACCCTTTGAGTTATTCAGCTAAAAAGAGAACAGGCTAAAATCATTTTGTGTCTTCCCAACTGAGCAATGGTGAGAGGTAAAAGATCATTCAGGCCTTCAGTAATGGTACCAACATTCATACCATCCATTCAAGAACCATCAAGAAAACAGTGAATGTTTAAAAAAGATGGAACAGTAGAGAGGAAAACTGGATCAAGAGGTCACAACAGGAAGAGGGATCATTATTTCAACTCAAAGATAAAGAGATCAATTAAAAAAGATCCAACTCAATTCATAAGATGTTTTACACGTGAGAAAAGGAGTTTCAGCTATGACAGTCTAAAGAGCAGTGAAAAAGACTTAAAAATGAAATCGTTACGTGAAACCTGTGAGGTAACTTGTTACTCCAGGACAGAAAGAGGGTTAGAGAGGGTGAAGATCCCTGAATATATATATATATATATATATATATATATATATATATATATATATATATGCATGTTAAATATAACAGTCAACAAATGTCTATTATGTGTGATCATGAGCCATTCTAAACTATTTGGATAATTTTTTTAATTTTTTTTTTTATTATGCTGTTCCTTGATCTAAGCTTTCGACTCACATGAGCCATCTTCAGAGTGGTTATATGGATGTTTAAACAAGGATATTCACCATTAAAGATGATATTCAGTTATGCTGACATAGTTATGTTGACTATGCAACAATAATTAAAAAAAAATATCCAAATGTTGGACAATTTTTGTCTGTTTTCTCCTGAAATTAAAGCAAATATACAGAGTTTAGAACGGCTCGTGATCAAACATAATAGACATTCATTGTCCGTTATATTTAACAATATATGTTTGTATAATGATCTGCTGCCCCAATACACTTTTAACCACCAACAATCACAATTTCAAGATACCATCACAATAATTGCATCTATCGTTATTATCATTGCACCTCCATTAGTAATCACTTTTACCACTTTACAATAACTATTAACTAATAATATTATCATTACCACCAACACCCAGCTCCATCACTTAGACATCACACCTACGATTAACATATAAATCCACTACAATCATTAACGTATATTACTCCCCCAGCATATTTAATACCTTAAAACAATAAGATCAGATATAATTTCCATATGTAACCATGAGAATAAACACCCATTACCAGGATTCATAATAAATAAAAATAAACAAATAAATATAAAAAATAAAATAAAATACCAACAACCACTCTTTAGTTCAAGCTAGCACCACAATAATTACATTTATAGGTTTTTATTATTCTCCCACCAACCTTACTAATCACTACTAACAATTTACAATAAATATTAACCACTTATATTATTATTGCCACCAACCCCCTTACATATTACTATCACACCACATCTACCATTACCATATAATCCTGCCATAATTATTAACGTAAACTACCCCCTCTCCCAGCATATTTAATACCACCATAAAAATAACCAATAAGGATTACAAACTGAAATTTCTACCAGTCACATATACAGTCATAAAAAAAAACAAAAAAGGAAATAACCAGCTTTAATATAATAACAATATTTTTGTAAATTAAAAATTAAAAATTATAGCAATCTTCAACTACCATAATTTTACACAGAATACCAAAATAAATTAATACATATAACAAAATAAAATAAAACACCAACAACCACTTTTTAGTTCAAGCTACCACCACTATAACTACATTTATGGTTTTATCATTCTTCCACCACCATTGCTAATCATTTCTACCAATTTACAATAACTATTAGCTAATTATATTATTGTCTCCAATCCCTTGCAACATTACTATCACATCATATCATATAGACCCGTTATAATTATTAAATTAAACTACCCTCTCACCCAGCATATTAAATATTAAACATCACCATATAAAATAACCAATAAGGATTACAAATTTCTACCTGTTACATATACGAAGTCATCAAAAACAAACAAATAACCAGCTTTAAATATAACAAATAAACCCCCTTTTTTTCAAAAATTTAAAAATAAATATAAATAATAATTTTTACCTATCATAATTTTACACAAACCCCACCACACATATATACATACATGCGAAGAAATTTATTCACTGGAAAAATAAAAATATGACATGTTTACATTCACGAGAAATCTTCACTACACTCCCAATCTTTGAATTTCAACATACAAATGCGTATGTATAGACACAACATCACCCGTATACATACATATGTCATATCCGAAACTGCCCACATATGTTTATATATGTACGAGTCCTGACGGACGACCAAGTATGTATATGTGTCTGCATACATCGATGTTTGCGTTAGTACGATGACAAAATGACGAAATTTCCCCCACCACTTCCACAATAACACCAATACACGCAATCTACATAATCCCAAAATTTTAAAACATTAATCAGTTTGTCTGACGATCGCTAAAGCGTGAAACCCAGGGTCACAAACTCACATCTATCCAACTATATATATATATATATATATATATATATATATATATATACACACTTGCTTTTTTTTCTTTTTTTTTTTTAAAAATAAAGTGATAAATTGGCAATAAAAATTTTTTAAAAAATAAATCGGGAAATCAAAAATTTCAGCTCTACAAGAAAAATTGAATATATTAAACTTACCAAGAATAGCTCGTAAATGTCCTTCCAATGTCTGTAAAATAACTCTTTCAATATGATCAATACTTTTGCCAAGAAACTGTTCACAAGCTCGACTGAGGAGATCCTTTTCTTTCATGACCTTACATTGTGCTACACCAGTAACTGTGATAGGGACACCTTCTGCAGTTTCTACACTCTCACATATTGGATTCAAGGTCATCACCTCAAGGGAAATGCTGAAAATTTAAGTTAAAAAAATAAAATTAAATAACATTTTACAAAGGACCCAAATAATATATGAATACCACATTTACTTAAAAAAAGCTTTAAAGAGTCCTGAAATTAACTGGTTATCAGTCCTTTTAATGGAAGGAAGCAGTGGCGGCAATGGGGGCAGCAGTCAGCACAAATGTGCTGGGCCTTGAAACCTGAGGGGCCTCAAGAAAATACTTTTAGGGGTTTAAAGGTGGGGCTTCTTTACAAAAAGCAGAGAGCAAAATTATGAACCGGTATTTTATTGAAAAAATACAAAGACCAAAACCAATTCCAAAGCAGCTTAAAAGCTTTTATTGAAGCAAAATATGCAACAAATTCCTCAAAGTCTAATTCTTGTGCCAAATCACACTCAATTGCAAAGGTTGCCAAGTAAGACACGCTCTTTAAATAGTCTTATAAGACACACTAGATAGAGTTTGTTTATCCCAGCATCTCCTTTTCTAAACAAGGGGCCTCAAAATAATGAGTGCCAGATCTCTCTCTGCAGTACTGGAAGGAAGATATAAAAAAAAAACATTCAGAGATATGAGTAGGTGGATATGAACAAGAATATATAAATTACAAATCTCATATTGGTTAAAAATTTGTTCTCTCAAATACAGAAATACCTGATCCTTAGAAGCTTAAAGACAAATATAGTCTTTTTACATTTACATTGTTCTTACAGTTGTCCTCATCTTTGTTATATTCCCAAAACATGGCCCAGTGGATAAAAGAGTTGGTTGAAGTAATCCAGTGACTTGACCCAAAGAGTTTTGAGTTCAATACCTGGTCACAGCAGAGGTGATCAAAAACTTGGAGAGTTGAGTTACTAAAGGGAAAAAACTGAAAGTGAAATATAAAAAAAGGCATGGCACATGAAACTAAAACAATCTGCCCCCAGTGGACAAAATAAAGGGTTTGGTTCAAAATTCCAATGTGTATCACCTGAAGAAGGCTGGAACATACAACAGCCAAAACGTCATGAATATGACAATAAAGAGGAGGACAACAGTCCAAACAATGTAATAGTGTAAATAGTTACAATACCCCATCTCAGAAATATAGACAGATGTTCAAATATAAACTTGATTAAAAAGAATTTAAATCTGCTAATCAATATTTTTTGCATGAAGTTTCATAATACATGGAATATGGATTTACAGAGACACCTATAATGGTCAAGGTATTATTATTTAAGTAATAATTTATGCCTAATTAATGTACTATTATTTAATTTATAGATAAGGTCACATTATATTGCCAGTCTTATTTACATAAGTTTGTAACAAATACAATAGTAATAGAGACTAAAATGACCTAGGTCAACCAGTTCTAATGCCATCAAATATGTATCAATATATTTTTCTCTTTCATTGCCATATCACAAATACCATTTGCAAGAATTAGAGAATTTAGTTTGACCTTCAGTGGCTATTGTAACCCCCACTTTCTTCTATCAAAATTCTTTGATTTTTTTTTTCCATTATTTACTTTGGAGAAAAGCGTATGACATAGTGAAAAAAATTTTGGGTGATGCATTTCGTCCTTTAGGACATCAGACTAAATTTGTTATGTTGGTGCTACTACATATGCACATAAACAAGTCAAACAAAAACTTTTCCCACTTTGTCATACATTTTCCTCCCCAATATTGTTCTTGAAAAAAAAAAAAAAAAAATCATTATCTCATCATTTACTTTGTAAGTTTGTGGCAGCAGAAGTGGAAGACTTGAAAACATTGAGATGAGGTAAAATGAAAAAGTCATTGTGATAAAGAAATGACTTGACTTTTTTCTTTTTCCAAGTCTTGCACCAAGATTCATCTATCCAAGAGTTCTTTATAAATTAAAGTAGATGATATTGAACAGAAAAACAAAAACAGTTCAAGAGTCAGAAAGATAGAAAACAAAAGTATTTATCTGAAGTTAATTTTACTTCTAAAAAAATGTATTTGCATAACATCAAAACTCATTATATTAAATCAAAATATCAGTAACATAATCCATTAAATAAAATTTAATTAATTACATAAAATTTAATTACATAAAAGCAACAAATGTGTTAATTACAATTATTTTACATTATGTACAAGAGATGATTTTTTTTAAATTATCGTTATTTGTCTAATTTTGTAGCTTAAAACAATTATGAACAAAAGTTAAAGAAATAATTACAATAGTGTTAAAAATATATACTGTATTTTCTTGTGTATAATATGACATTAGTATAAAACAGGGAATAAATTACATCCTCAAGTATAATACAACCCTGTAATACAGCCATCCCAATGTAATTTTTTTTTTTTGGCAAAGTTGAATCTTTGAGCCCCCAAAATTTTGAGTGTTAAAAGGACAGTTTTTCCATTGACAGTTATTTTAACTACTCCTTTCCAATGTTTGTTTTCAAAAGCAATGACTAGAATTGTAAGAAAATTTAAACATTTGATGAAAGTGAATTTATACATATTTTTTTTATTCTTGAGAATTTACAACAAAAATATTAAACACTATTTATTTATTAAATAGTTTATTTACAAAAAAAAAAAAATAATTTATATTTATAACATTCTTAAAATTAATACAATGCAATATTTCTCATTTATATATATAATAAATGCAAATGTCAGTGTGTTACACTTTTTCAACTTTACTCCTAGAGGCCAACATATACCATTTTGGAATCAGGCCAACTCCGTGAGCTAATTAAAAACGTTCTGGGCTGGATCTGGACCCGCAATCCTGAAATTTTGGATTCCCAAGTTTTCATTACTGCAATTATTTTTGGTGATATTTTACGTGATTTTTTACAACAAAGTTTTTGGTACGATAACTTTTATAATTTGGAAATAGATTTGGGAATTGTGAAATCCAGCAAAAGTTACCAATGAAATAAAAATAATTGTATGGAAAGTAAGCACTTCCATACATCAAATTGTCTTTAAATTAAGTGACAGCAGAAGAATTATCGTTGAAATTTTAAAACATAAGCTTAAATATTAATGCAATACTTAAATGTAGCAATCAGTTTTAACTTATGTAGTTTATTGTGGCCTATCATATCTACTCCACCCTACCTATTATGATGAAGGCCCAATCAAGAGCCATCTGCAGGAGCTAGCTTAAATGCTGCTTGATATGCTGGCTTTTAAGCTAGTAAAGAAATAAGTATGAATACAATTTGTATTCATAAATTTATAAACATTTACTAAATTATTAAAATATGTGAACTAACTATAAGGAAATCCTTATTTACCATTTTATAAAGTTCAAATCAATTAACAATTAACTGATGTTTTGCCAACTATTCGAATAAACAATCTAATATATAAATATTATTTTTGTTAAGAACAAAGAAAAGGTATAAATTCACTTCATATGTTTAGGTTTTACAATTCTAATCATCACTTTCTAAAACAAACATTGCTGAGGAGTGAAAGTTGTTAAAATAATATTGGTGACAATAGAAAAAAAACGCTTCTTTTTGACACTTTTTCGCAGACACGAAGGGCCAAGTTTGCCTCTGTTTTTTAAAAGTTGCATCATATTATCCATTAAAATCTCAATGTCGTATACATATTTCACTAAAATATCTAATTTTTCATGATATTAAAGAACAGAAATGAACCAGATGTTTAGTCATTGCATATTTCTTCTAATTTCCATTTCAAAACTTATTTTCAAATTTTTGGGGAAAGTTGCTAACTAGACATACCCAATAATCCTCCTGATTACTCTTGTTTTCATTCCTTAGTAATGTTTCTGTTTTCTAATACTTCCACACACAGTAATCCTTTATGTCTTAGTGATTTACTGCCTTGTTTGGGGTGAACGCGATTAAAAAGAAAAGTTGGAATCCTCCGCAAAACTGGTGAGCGTATTTGAGGATGGTATCTATAGCAAGTTAAAGGCTCTGAAACTGAGAGGAAGCTGTTACAAAACCTGAACAAAGATTACTTAACAAGGAATGAATACAGATAGCTGACCCAATGTTACAGTAAGCTATCACTCATGCATAGCTTTCCCAAAAGCCACTAAGATGGTCCTTCACTGAGGCCCAGAGTCAGTTGTTGAGGCTTTGCCCATTACCTGCTGAGCAGATTACTTATAGGTATTATCAACACATGAACAGGTAAGTTTTCATTCTAAGTGAACTCTGCCCAATTTGTTGACACCAGAGATGCACCAATTCATACCAACGAGATGGTGAGCTTAGACATAATGAGCCTGTTCACCACAGATTAAATTCCAACAAATGAGGCTCTGTCAGTAGTTTAGTCGACTCAAACCACTCTCTAGGAGAGCATATGAAGATCGCAAACTCATAATGGTATTGACATTCTATGTGCAAACAACATATTCAGTTGGAATAAGATATATATTGGGCTTATAAGTGAATTTCAAAGATAAACATTTGTACACATATTTAACCATTTGCCTTTTTTGTTCCACTACTTTACTTTTCACCTTTGAGACAGCTTCACAATTTCATTCTCCCAGAGTTTGGTACTGTTCCGAGTGATGAATTTGCCTGTTTTTTTTTTTTTGGGGGTTGAGGCTTTCAGAGAATTGAAGTTCTACCCATTATGAAAACAGTAATCTTAACCTTCATGCCTACAAAAAAAAAAAAAAAAAAAAACAGTTTGTCAAGGACAGTTTTTTCCCTTGACACCACTATCATTTTAGCTACCTTCACTCCTCAGCAACATTTGTTTTAAAAAGTGATCTAAAGATTCAGAGTCAATGTAACAGATTATTCAAAAGCTGTTCAACCCTTTGAAGAATATGATCAAGAATTGTGTATTCCATGGGAAATGAACCATCATCCTATTTTTGACATGCATCCATAGTAGAAATCAATAAATCAACAATAATCAACGTGAAGTTGTTCCCCTTGTACCTTCTCCACAAGTGAGGTACGATTGAGGCGGAAACACAGGGGTAGGGATAGTTGGTTACCACCATGTGGTGTTGGAAGGTCGCTAAATAAATTCTCTCTCCACACACAAGTCTTGCTGGAGTCATTTATTTAATTCACACTTTACAGTGATATAAATGCAGCAGAAAATAGGTCTAACTTCACTATAAAGGTTTTGTTTTTATTGAGGAAGAATTTCCATGAATAAAAGGGTGTGAGGATTACTGCTTACCTCTGTACATCAGTGACAAGCCACCATGCCCATCCCCAGTTACCAACAATGGTCTTTTTAGACTCTGCTCCAAAGCAGCCACCTGAAAAAGAGAATTTTAAAATATGTAAAGAGTTTCACACATTTTCTGAAAAAGCATCCTAAAGTTAAAAAAAAACAAACTTGTTTCATTTAATTTACAAAGACCATATTTTTAAATTACAACGTAATTCAAATCCAAAAACTTGACATCAGAATTTGCTTGCATCCTATACATTGAAGATTTGAATAATATATAGGAAAAGATCAACACTTCCTCTGTAATGCAATGGATGAGACTGAGGAGACATTCTCTTAAATCCTAATATTGATGCCAATGATGAAATATCTGATTCTTTTCCAAGCGATAGTGAAAGCAAGGAGGATTTTATCGGTTTTGAACAAAATTGTAAACTTTTTTTAAAAGCATTTTCTTATTTTGAGCTCTTTTTTAAAACTAATATAATTCATAGTTGTATTTGAAAGATGTTAAACTAACATTTTTTCCCCAAAACTGTTTTCAAAATAGGTGTGTATCTTATACACCAGTAGCATCTTATATTTACCAAAAATATGGCATCTTATTTATCTACTGCCATCATCATTGTTTTTGAACAAGACCAGTTTTAGAGTACCATAGATAATTTTATATACAAGAATTGTATCATAAATGAATATCAGATTTAATAGAGATGTGATTGCACAGGGACTTCAGAAACTGAGATGTCCTAAGGATGTTAAGGAAAACTGTCCACATCTATTGATGGTCACTAACCAGTAAAGTTCAAAGGAGAAATACAGATGAGGCCAGTATTAATTAGTTAGTCTTAGTGATGTTGCTGACTTCCAGTAATTTTTTCTATGGAGAAGAAAAAAAAAGGGGGAAAGAATATTTTCAATTTCAGTTCTGTGACACCACCTCAAACACCAGATGGATTTATCTGCTTGTTTTGTATGTAAAAAGTATGATTTGGCCTTTAATTGTTGACTTTTAAAAAGCTCAAATAGTAACTGCTTTACAAGTTGAACTAACATTAAACTTGTTCTCATCAATACAACAGAATGTTTAGTGTTAAGATGATTGAGTAATTGCAATAAGCCAATAAAAAAAATGAAAATAACTTGTCAAAAACTAAAGGCCTTAATTGTCATTTCTACTTTTGTTCCTTGGTATACTAAAAGTTAGACAATTTAGCTGATAATTCTCCAGGAACTGTATTATACCTTACCACTTTAAACAGACTTAGTAATTTATACTGGCATGGTATTAGCATTTAGATAACCCAATATATAAACAAGAGGGGCACTAAGTAGAACTGACCAGCACTAAAATCACTCTGCATACAGCCCCCCACCCCCATATAAAAATAATTTTATTATTTACTTTTACTTCTATAATAACTGTAGCAAAAAACCATGAAAATTTGAAAACCTAAATTCGAAAATTATCTCATTTTTATGATTTGGCTTTGTTGATATGTGAAACAAAATCCACCATTTTGGTTACCTTATTGGTAATTTTTTTTTTTTTTTTTTTTTCAAGTTTTAAGACAAGCTCTAGTTCCCAAAAAACTGGGTCCAAAAGGTTATTGAAAGCAAGAAGTCCAAAAATGTCAAAATGTTATATATAAGAAGACATCAAAACCAACTCATTTTGAATGATAGCTGTTTTCTAGTATGTTTCATCTACAATATATGAAGACATGAGAAAAAAATAAGTTTAGTTCTAGTCTAAGATATTAAGTAACAAACATTACCTCCAGCAAGTTAAAATTTAGGTAACAAAAGTTAGTAAAACAATCTCTTTACATATTTCATATCCTATATTGATATTTAAGTAACTTAAAAATATAATGTTGAAAGGAAACTATAGAAATCAATGCATTCCATAAATTCTAGCAAGTCAGACAAGCATATCATTGTTGCTAGAAATAACTATTATACAATTTTAACAAGTATTAAAACCCCAGTTAGCTATTTTTTCTTGTTATTATACACAATAAAATAAAGAATATTAAACCCAGCATAAAGTTTTATGCATTCATTAAGTATCTTTCTAATAAATGTGAAACAAAAAAAAACAATTATGGTCCAGTAAATACAGAATTTATGGCAGTAAGAGTTCCTGTCACAAAAGACACCATATCAGAACCACTATAAAGCTAGTTAAAAAGCAATCTTTTAAATATATTAAGCTTATGCAAAAGGTTAACTTTGAATAGTGAATTCTTTTAGAATTGATATAAAAAGAATAAATGTCTCCTGCAATTATATAAATCACAGGTACACTACCGAAAAAAAATAAAAGTTCTATGACATGATATTTTTTAAATATGCATATGAAAGGGTGCTGAGAAGTTCTTGGCCCAACCAAAAAGGCCCTTAAAATACTTGATAGTTGGTTAAATTTTTGGAAGTAGGTCAAATCAGAACTCTCTAGCATCCGTTCATAAGTATGAAAAACAGAACTTTTTCTTTCTTTCCTTTCTTCTTCCACTTGTCACTACAATAAACATGTTTTTATATTGTTTGTGTAGTCATTGTTTTGACAACCTGCTGCCTGCCATAAGCTCTATAGTCTATCTCTAGTAAATTTACCCAAATCTTGTTACAACAATGCTAACACACCCAATTTCATTCATCTTTTCTATGACATTAGTAGACTTCTAAATTTAGTGCAAGAGGGGGGATATTTTAGCACTCATTTTACCTATTTATCACTAACCAAAAACAAACAGCTACCATTTACACACATGTTACAATTCAAAAAACCCATGGTGCCACACAAAAATGTTATCAAAATTGCTCAACAACCTAAAATGAAATCATGAAGAAGATAAGATTTTGATAGAATTTATTTTTACTAATTTTTAATAATCTAGAAAAATAGAAAATAAAGGGCAAATTTTCAATGTTTCTAACCTTGAAAATAGAAAATGTACCCTGTAAGGAAATTAAAGAGAGATCTTAATATTTGAAGCTTAAGGGTTATAATAGAGACTGCTTGTAAAAATAAGAGAAAAAAATAAAACTCAAAACATAAAACAGTAAAAAGCACTACTACCATCACTAAGCACTAACAGAAAATTAATACTTAGTTCTTGGCCCCATTTTCAAGAATGTCTGCTGCCCTAATTTAACAAGCAGGCTGCTAAATGATAAGACTGTAGTTTTTCTACTTCTACTATTATAAAGATAAGGCATTAGTACAAGTAGATTTTGCATTATGTATTTGTATTTTTATGTTAACTATTTTTTTTCTAAATGACAGGATCTTTGAGATGACCATATCAGTAACTTAGGCTCCTCCCTTTCTACAATACAAATAAAAAATTGACCAGGCCAAGAGAATAACCATGGTAACAAATTCCTCAGAAATATTCATAATGGTATAACTACTGCTACTCCCAACACTACTACAAGCAACATGATGAAATTAGCCAATATATGCATTTGGGATAAAGCTTCAGGATGCAAAATAAACTGTAAAGCATCACAAAAAAAATAAAATAAAATAAAATAAAATTTAAGTAACTTTTGTATAAATCTTAAAAGATGTTTATTAAAAGAAAAAACTTTTAGCATTTATTTGGGAAAGTAAAGAGTTTTCCAAAAGTTAAAATAGCTTTAAACGTGAATTAATGACATTTTGTTGATTGTAACAGTTATTAATGTGAATAGAGTATAATAAGGCAATTGAGGAATATTTTGCAGAACAAACACATTCCTTACTTTTATTTATGAATATTAATCTCAAAGTGTAAGTAATCCTCCAAATATACATATGCCCAATGAATCAGTGTTTTAAAGCAGGTCTCTTTGTATTTGAATAACTTCAGTCTACCTCACTTTAGTACAACTTTCAATTCTAATTTCAAATTATACAAATTTGAAAAATATAAAATAGCCCATTTCAAATAAAATTTAAAAGTGTAAATAAATGTAAATACTAATATTGAGTTAACCATTTATCCAAGTTTTAATTATGTCAATTTAATAAAAAATCTATCGTTGAAAACAATAAAATTGAAAAATATCAATTTTATAGCCTGAATGTTTTGGGGAAAAATAAGAAAAACATACATATATCAAAAGGAGGTTATTACCAAAAGAAGGATCTTAAAGTTTGTTACATTAAGATTTATTCTTCAAATCAGACATCCAGACTGAGGTCTTCCACATAAATTTGTTTTGTATTTATAAAAGTTCAAAAGATAAAATAATATTTGCATACACTCATTTATCAAATGCATCAACAACCCGCCCAGGGCAGTGTTTTATGACCCTCGCTATCTTATCAATAGTTACATTTTTTTCTATCTACATATTACAAATTAAATGAAGCACAACTGACTATTAGAAGATGAAAAATTTTTGATTTTGACATCATTCTGGGGTCTTTTTTTTTTTCTTCATTCAAATCCTTGAATTTGTTTTGCTAATACTAAATCTTGCAACAAAAAAAAAAAAAAAAAAAAAACATAAAATTCGCTATTTTTATTCATAACATTGAATGTGTTTAGATTATTCAACTTTTTAACAAGAAAAATCTCAAGTTGATGTTAAAAATTGGCACAAAACATTGATTTATTTAAGATGGAGGAATGATATATTATGACATGTCTCTAATTTGTATTTAAATACATTGTATTTATTTTCAATTTTTCTAGTTGAATTGTTCACCTATATTGCATATGATCCATTATTGCACATAATCAGGCTACAATAAAATTTATATTTTATATGAATACTACCTTATGAAAATTGAGATGTAAAAAGAGTGTTGGGGGCACGCATATCATTGATGGAGTTTCAGATTTGGGGAAGGGCACAAGACTTTTGCACTGGCCCTGTATATAGTGTAATTTGCATTTATACTTAATCTGGAATTCTATCATAAGTGAATATGCCATCAATAAAAAAGATTATTACAGTCAAATTCAAAATACCATACTTACCTATGTGTAATACACACAAAATTGACAGGACATATTTTATCAAGTCCTTTAATTTACAATATCAAAAGGAAAAAATGCAGGTATATTATAACTAAAATAATTAAAA